CCCGTATTGAAAGAGTTAATGGTTCTATAACAGGTATGTGGCCACATAGTAATGGTGAAATTACAATTTTTCAGGTATGTTTGTCATGAAAAGCTATTAAATTTGGTTGGAAACTTCAACCCGTTGTTTATTTTCTCACTAACAAGACCAAGAGATATGCCCAGCTTTATCACATAGGCTTTTGTATTGTAGCTAATGCTTTCAGTTTGTAAGTTAAGGTACTGATCCAGATTGACTTTGAATGATGTTTTATAGACTACCAGTGTCTTAAAAGTTGTGATGTGCCAGCATTTCTACATCCATGATGATCAATGATGTCTCCCTTTTTCTTCCACTCAATACAGAATAAACTAAGATCAATTTTCTATCACTTAACTGTTCAAATGCTTATTTATGGATTGGTAACTTGCATGAGGTTGAAAAATAATGAAAAATTAACATCTTAATATTAGAATAAACAACCTTATAACACCATATTTGTTCTTTTTCTTTAATTAGACATTCAGTGTTTCACTTTACAGCTTCTTCAGGAGCATTCCACTAAAACAAACTGTAACAAACAGTACAAAGCTTCAAAAATAACAAACTTGTTGTTAGAAGGTTGTTTATTTCTAGCATTAAAATGTCTTTTATACTCCAATATGAACTACAGAAATTAAAAAAATTAACATATAATTCAAAATGACTGAAGTACATCTAATACTTACAAAAACGTCTTTTGAAAAAGTTTGAAATCATATCAGGACAAATACCCAGTCCTGTTCAACGAAATTTTTAAATAAAATACTTGAGAACAGGGGCATCATTTCACAAAAAGCTCAGGGTGGTGGTGGTTAAAGAAGGTTGACCCTGTCACGCCCCCAATTCAGCCTGGTAGCCCTACAGTATGGTGTACTTGCATACATGTGTCAATGTAGCCTGACTAGAAATGTTTCGCAGCAACTGCCATTTACCCCCTCAGAACTTGGGGTGCTCCAACCATCCCTCAATGAACTGTCACTAGTTTGACCAGAATCATCTATATAATCAAATTCAGTGTCTGTGTGTGTCACATAACTCCTCCTCAACTGCTGGTCGTATCAACTTTTAATTGGTAATGAACAACTTGTTTAAGTCCCGAGGTTTGCACAAATGTGAAATTTTTTACTACGCCCCTTGGTGATACCAGGGATTTCATGAAAAACCCTTCTCCTAAGCTACTGGACTCACCAACTTTTAAATGGATGTCAAACAAACTCTCTTGGCCCTGAGTTTTGCACAAAAATACTTTTAAGGGGATTCCCTGAAGTGGACCCCAAATTTGGCATTGATATACATAACAGCATGTAAATTAGTAGGCCTACTAATTACCATTTGTAACTTAGTTAAAGAAATTAATTTTGCTTTACAGAGGCAATGATCATTAAGCTGAAAATGTGCAAAATAGCAGTTAAAGTATTAAACTTGCATTATAGCGGTCCTGTTAGTGTGGGCCATAGGCCCACAAGTTCACAAAGTGATACCAAATGAATCCTAACAGCCCCGAGGTTTGTACAAAGGTAAAACTTTTCATTCAACCCCTTGGTAGCTCAAGCATTAAATTTACATTATAGTGGCCCTGTAAATGCAGGTCTATGGCCCACAGGTTCGCTAGCCAATAAATATATGTGATGTGATGTGTGTGTGTGTGTTTGTAGAGTCCCACAATGTTCAAGAGCTTTACACTTTACCAGATATTATTGGTATAGGGTCGAAATGTCTACAGTTATCCTTAATATTCTAAATAAATTACGGTATATTTTGTAATGGCTTAAACAGAACAGTAAAATATTACGATACTATGGACAGTTGAAACTATTTTACCCAAAAGTAACTCACGTAACACAAATACTAATCAGCCGATATGCTACACCGTTTTGGTACAAATTCCTTCTACCGAGGATTTAGCTGCTTCCACTAAGTGGGGCTGACACTGTTGTCTCAGGTGTGCTAATCTCTCCTAAACGTACCAACCAAAACAGAATGTTAGAATACCCATGAACATAAAGAACTAGGTCTCGCTTTTGTACAGCAACACCTTAATCTTTCCTATTTTCTGTTCAAACAACTAAGAAGTGAACAAAATGTATGTATAAGATTAGGAATTGGTAAGATTACAGCTGAATAAAACTCAGTGAAAAAAAATGTAGACAAATGTTTGAAATTTAAATTCCAAAGATTCTTTCGTACAACAGAACTTTAAAAAAAGCATACTACTACTGTATTTTAATGTTATTATATAATAATACTCAAGAAAAACCCTAGACAGAACTACCAATAGGTAAATAAATGTAAAGTGTAATAAACAGAAGCTAAAAACACACAATAAAATATTCTATGGTTAGTAAGTTGCCTCCAGATAAAAGATTCATGCAAATATTCAGTGTTAATGTAAAAAAATGCTCATTATTCTCACCAGATAATCATCATACGATGCATTAAGAGTCCGCCTGATCCACTGGAAAGCATCTTCTGCATTCCATTTAACGATTTTCCTGTTCTCAGATGAGGCATTTCTGTATGAACAAGTGTAAAGAAACTAAACAATGCTTAAGGTAATTTATCACGCTTTGGTAAAAACGTTTTTAAATATTCTGAAGAATTGGTTTGTTCTGGGCTTTTATATAACAATACGAGCAACAAGTCAAGCATGGAAGGGTGTACTGTTATAGAACCAAAGAACTCACCACTTTCAGTTGTTATAACAAAAAGGTTGCATAAAAAAACACCCTAAGCCAATGACTAAAAAACACAAGGATGTTATTGGTTTTTAAACATTTTGTCTTGAGGATATTTCTCAAAAGCTGAAATGGTCAAATTAGGCAAAAAAAAAGGCCACTTATCTCCATCAATTACATTATATAAATGTTTACAGGGGCAGGAAATCAACCTAGTCAGCATGCTAACTGGAGTCCTACATATTAGTGCAGTCAGCATGCTAACTGGAGTCATACGTATTAGGGCAATGAGCCTCCTAACTAAAGTTGTACATATCAGGGCAATGAGCATGCTAACTGGAGTCATAGCATGCTGACTACCCTAATATGTACAACTCCAGCTAGCATGCTCATTGCCCTAATACATATGATTCCAGTTAGCATACTCATTGCCCTATATGTACGACTCCAGTTAGCATGCTCATTGCCCTAATATGTATGACTCCAGTTAGCATGCTCATTGCCCTGATATGTGTATACATTGTGGTTCTTCTAAGTTTTTCTTTCAAAATCTTCCTAATATGTACAACTCCAGTTAGCATGCTGACTACCCTAATATGTACAACTCCAGTTAGCATGCTGACTACCCTAATACGTACAACTCCAGTTAGCATGCTGACTACCCTAATATGTACAACTCCAGTTAGCATGCTGACTACCCTAATACGTACAACTCCAGTTAGCATGCTGACTACCCTAATACGTACAACTCCAGTTAGCATGCTGACTACCCTAATATGTACAACTCCAGTTAGCATGCTGACTACCCTAATATGAACAACTCCAGCTAGCATGCTCGTTGCCCTAATACATATGATTTCAGTTAGCATACTCATTGCCCTAATATGTACGACTCCAGTTAGCATGCTCATTGCCCTAATATGTATGACTCCAGTTAAAACATGACTTTTTGATAAATATATCTGAATATCACGATTGACAAGTTGGAAATTAAAGAAGATATAAAATTACTTTCTATCAAAAGGTTATACAAAAAACTGTGTTAGGATCATCAGGAAACTGTGTAAGGTACTTAAATATATTAACAAGTTGGGCACTGAAAACCATAATAGGGAAGACAGAAATTCTGTAAGGGAGAATTCAGAACATGAATGCATCATGTGACACAGAGAAGTGAAGACTGAGAAATTATTTTAATATTTACTTTTAAAATTAGGCCAATTGTATTGACAAACATTGATGATAAAGGTATTTCATTAAATTTTGAAGGTAACTGTAAAAGTACGTATCTTGTGCACTTTGACCTAGCCGAATGCAAAGGAATAAAAAGAGATATATGAACGTGAAATTTAGAACAAGTTTTGAACATTCTCTGAGGTTCAGGCTTTCTGAAAGCTTATATTAGTAAAAACTGGGTTTTGATACCAGTGGTGGGCACAGCACAGATAGCCCATTTTGTAGCTTTGTGCTAAACTACAAGGATTTCACTTCCTAATCATATAATTGGACACAAGTTACAGATACTGACAAGCCAGAATATAAAACTTGAACCTCATATCTTCTTGATTTTACCAAGATATCAATGTATTTGTCAAACCCCTCTGTGAAGCATCTCCTGTTTTATCATAGAATTTAAAGAAGTTATCTAAATGTAGTCTATTACGATAGACATGCTTACAACCGAGAGAAAGAGCATTTTTTCCTCTACAAAACTTATGCTATGGTTATTTCATTTTGGAAAGCATAGTATATTTTATATTCTGCAATTGTTGTTGTTCTGTTCTGAGCAGCCAACAGAATTTGTTAACCTATTTATACCTTGGTTAGAAAGCCAGTTAAATTATAGTAGTTTTGCACAAAAAATACGTCAGGTACTAGAATAGAATGTTCCAAAACTACTATAATTTAACTGGCTTTCTAACCAAGGTATAAATAGTTAACACAAAACTACTATAATTTAACTGGCTTTCTAACCAAGGTATAAATAGGTTAACACAAAACTACTATAATTTAACTGGCTTTCTAACCAAGGTATAAATAGGTTAACATTCTAAAATGTATAACTGAGATCTAAATTTTCCTCCAAACAACTAAGTTAGTGAGTAAAAGTAGGGCTAATGTGTCATGGGATCAACAGCAAGGCCTGGGTTCAGATATAAGTGCTAGATTTATTGTTTTTATGGGTAAATTTTATATATTTTAAACAAAAGTAATTAAAATGTAAAAAATCAGAAACTTCTTAGGTTAGATAACAAACTTATATTAACAATTACAACCAAATCTTGCAGTAAACACATGTTTATTTACACAACGGGAAAACTCTTTCTGTGATTTATTGCTTTTCAAGCAGAGAGAGGTCCAAAAGAACAGTAACAATGAAATAAATAAAAACAATGCAATTAATGCAATTGATGATTTTGATACAGTTAGTGTTAGGTATTGAAAATAGCAAATAAAATATCAAATTTTACACCCACAAAAAAAAAAACGACAGAAAAATTTTGATGGTCATTTAAAACGTTCTAGAAGTCGTGCAAGAGAAACAATAAAAGTGTAAAATGAAAAAAGTATTTTTATTCTTAGCATGAAAATTACCTTTCACTCAGACGGACTCAGCAAAGGCTCCAGAAATTCAGAGACATTTCTTCGGTAAAAATACTTTATTAAAAATTTAGATTTTCTGTGTACAATAGACTTGTAATATGTAATAAATTCAGAATTATAGTAAACATTACTATGTATAAATTCACAGATATGGGATCAATAAATTGGTCTAGACTGTATTCATAGGGTTAACAAAGACAATATTTATATCTCTTGAAAGTCCTACCTGACTGACTTGAAAATAGGGATTTTTTGTTTACTAATTTAGATTCTGGTTAAAGACAATCTTACAGATAAGAACAGGAAAAGAAGATACAAACCGTGACTCAATCATTTTCTTAGCAGCTTCTGCATATTTAGATAACTGTTTACGGGCATCACCAGAGAATTTTGGGCGGACCAACTTTATGGGAATATCATTCATTATCTCTCGATACATGGTGTAGGAAACTTCAGGTTGACAGTTGCTTGGAAGTAATGGATCATTACCCTTGTCAATTACCTTCCTTTCCATCAACCACCGGTTGAGAGATTCCTTCGGTGCATCAATACCTGGATGTTTATTTCATACTTAATAAACATACTGATAATACATTCAGACTTTTTGAAAATAGGAAATTTTTCTGTAAATGTTGATATTAACAACAGCAAACTCGAGAAAGGTTTCAACAGAAAGCAGATATGGAAAAGATATAATCTGCACCACCTTACAGTAAATGGAGTGAAGACTTCTTTCCCGCATATAATGAATATCTTCCACACACACTTAAAAAGAAGAATCCTCGTGAGAAAACAGCAACGAACCGATGTCAAGGAATATTCTATTCCAGAGTCAAATAAATATTCTATTCAAGAGTTGAAACCTGATTTATATAAATATTCTATTTAAGGGTTGAAACCAGATTTATATAAATATCTTATTTAAGGGTTGAAACTTGAGTTATATAAATATTCTATTCAAGAGTTGAAATCTGAGTTATATAAATATTCTATTCAAGAGTTGAAACCCGAGTTATATAAATATTCTATTCAAGAGTTGAAACTCGAGTTACATAAGTATTCTATTCAAGAGTTGAAACCCGAGTTATATAAATATTCTATTCAAGAGTTGAAACTCGAGTTACATAAGTATTCTATTCAAGAGTTGAAACCCGAGTTATATAAATATTCTATTCAAGAGTTGAAACCCGAGTTATGTAAATATTCTATTCAAGAGTTGAAACCCGAGTTATGTAAATATTCTATTCAAGAGTTGAAACCCGAGTTAT